CACACACACACACACACCCCTGACATGGACAAGAGTTCAGGTGACATGCTTTGCAATATGGATACTGACTGTAACATTTATCTTTGCATCTCTAAATGAATCTAATTTGGAACCAAACAGACACTAGTTTTTAGAATCCCAAGAGTTACAGTGTATGCCATCTAGCCTTGTTATTTTTTACTCTTTTCACAAAAAGTACATATAGATTAAATGGTTCACAGAGATCAGTAATGGGTCGATCACAGTGATTTTCAACCTTTTTCATCTCATGGCACACATAAACTAATTACTATGTTTGGCATGCAGAGACAACACAGCAAAATGCTCTTTCCGAACTTTAATAAGCTGGTTTTTAAGCTCCACTTCCTCCATGGAGCACATGTCTTAAGACCAAGGGTGAACAGTGGGCATGGGGGATATTGAAAATAGTCTCTTACCTTTCTTCAAAAGTATTCTTTCTATTCCAAATCCACACTTTTCGAAGGGAGCAACTCTCCATCTTCTTTGAAGACTTGTGCTCTGATGTCGAGACCGCAATCTGACAAAGAGTATCGAGAGAAAACATTCAATGTGAACAGGGATTCCAGGGACTGAAACATCCCATGTAATCCTTCCTCCTCCTGGCCCTGCACCCTAAGGACTCTAGAAAGAGTGGAGTCAGTTCTCTGAAGATCAACATAGACACATCATTCACTCAGATCTGCTCTGACTCTCCCATCTTCCCCACCACCTCCCAAACCCAGTCACAATGACCATCAGAGTAGGGTAGAGTCCCTAAGGTAAGAAGTTAAATCTGGAAAAAATGATGGCCTTGGCCCCTGGTTTGAAGGAAAAGGTATTCTGAGAAAATTTCTAGTTTGCTATCCACATCACCCAGTTTCTCCCTTAACTTTGCTGACACCTTCCAGGAAAAAAAAGGTCATAGTACAGTAATGCCTCCCTGAAAATCCCTAGGTAGCTTTCCCAAAGACCAGGGAACAAAAGTTGTACCCAAAATTATGAAAAGAAGGGTTTGCTTGCATTGTGGAATCTATTCCGCTATTTAAAAACATATGCAATATAAATTAAAGGTCAGAGGGGAAGGGCTGTGCCTTAAGGAAGTTTTGAACACAGATGCCACCTAGTCTCTGCATTGTGATGATTCTCCTCACACAAAGAAAAAGCTATAGTTTGTACTTCCTCAACAACAACCAGGAAAAGAGCGTCTTTTAATGTTGGGGGTGGGGGTAGGGAGGTGAGAGCACCAACTTTTTAGTAATTAGCTGTTTCTTGCTCTGGGAGTGAGGCATGGCACAAGGACGTGTGTTTCTGTGAAGCCTTTCCCCTGGACCAGCTCTGGCTGTAACTACTGAGCGTCACAGAGCTGTCACTGAAAGTGGGGGGCTCATCTGACATGGCTGGTGTGACTCAGTATTTGAGTGCCGACCTATGAACCTGGAGGTCACCATCCAACTCCTGGTCAGGGCACATGCCCAGGTTGCGGACTCGATCCCCAGTGTGGGGAGTACAGAAGGCAGCCAATCAATGATTCTCTCTCATCATTGATGCTTTTATCTCTCTTCCTTCTTCTCTGAAATCAATAAAAATATCTTTAAAAAAAGCAAAAGCAAAAGCAGGACACTTGTTTGTTAAATTAAAGTTCTTTCTATTCCTGCTCTAATTCCTAGTGTGATTTTTGTCAGGATACTTGATATCTTTGGACCAACTTTATCAGCTATAAAACGAGGGGTGGAATTAGAATTAAGACAAAGGTGAGAAAGAACAAATCTCCAAACCATAATCATGGTTTCTCATAAAGTTAATGATTCTTGGAAGTTATCTCAGTCAAGGGCAGACTCTGCCTCACTTTAAATCCTTATAATGAATCAAGCAGAAGACAGCATGACCAGGGAACAAAAAGTTGCACCTAAAATTACGAAAAGAAGGGTTTGCTTGCATTGCAGGATCCATTCCACTATTTTAAAAAACATATGCAATGTAAATTAAAGGTCAGAGGGGAATGGCTGGGCCTTAAGTGAGTTTTGAACACAGATGCCATCTAGTCTCTGCATTCTGCAGAATTCTTCTTTAAGTGAATAAATGTGTAGGATAACTCTCCATTACCTTGATCAGCATCTAATATCAACCTGACACTTGGAATTAAATTAGAGAAACAAAATTGGATACTTTGGGTCTTGCAGGCTGATTATACTACTGGAGCAGGGAGTGGATTTAAACCCTTTCCTTATCCCATTTAAATCTAACTAGATATAAACTCTCCATTACTGAGGCATAGAGGTGTGTCTGCAGAGGTGGAGGTTCGCCTTGATGTTCTTGGACACCGAAACCTAATCCTTTCTTCTGACACACATGGTTGCAATAGAAAGTGTTCCCCAACTGCCAGTCTGGTTTTAATCTATTATTTCAGACAGGACAGGATTTGTAGGGAATGCAGAGAAAAGAGCACAATTACCAGGACTTACTATAAAATAAAAGTGTTGATGAGAAATCAAATTTTAAACAAGTGTTCAAAAATAGTAAGCATGAACCTATTAGATAGCCGTACAGTGCACACGTGTATGACTATAAGGGCTTTTAATTGTAAGTCTATCTAAAGTCTGCTTCCAATACAACATTTGTATCTCATTTTACGAAAATTCTCTGGCTTACCAAATGATAGCGATGGTAAAATATTGCAATACATACAATGCTGCTTCATTTAAACAACACTCTTGCATGATGAGATATTCCATAAGTGAACTTCCATTTAACCAAACTAACTCTGCATTATGTAAGCTTAAACATGTTAATTAACCACTTTGTATGGAAACATTGCAAAAGTGTATTCTATATCTTTTCTTTAAAAGATGCACCCAGCAACATATCTTTTCCTGAAGGTTCAGGATTAGCATTTAAAATCCTTATTAAAATATGCTTAATATTTTAACTGTACTTCTTAGAAGAGAACAAGATGGCGAGCTTGTATGATGGTGAGCTTTTTGGTGATACTTTCCCCAACACCAAAAGGTTTCAGAATGCTGCTGTAAAGAAGTACAAAAGCAGACAAAACTAGCTTTCTTTTAGTGGATCTAGCATCTTTTCTGCCGCCGGCTGTTCCTTCTGGCACGTTAAATGACTATCAACCTCTGAAAATTAATCATGTACTTTGTAAAAAAAAAAAAATTAGATTTAAAAGATATCCCTAGTCTAAGTAAAGCACTCTACTACATGTTGGGGAAAATGTAAGAAAATACAAAATATAGTCCCGTCCAAGGAGCAACCTTGCTGGCGGAGTGACACTCACGTCATCAGGTCACCACAGTAGTGGGAAACACAACTTATTACTTGGAAGTGTGAGAATAATTTACCTAAAAAACACAGGTATTGGAATGATTACACTTGTGTCCTGATATACCTTCTTCAATGGGAGTATGTCTCACGTGGAAATACCAGTCCTGTGAGTCTTAGCAGATAAAAGACGAAATGTGCTGCTTGAGGAAAAAGAGTAGGAAGACCCTTTGTCAGCTATCTGCTATAACCCTCATCTTATTTTTAGGCTTTATTTTACAACCCAGATGGTGTAGGATGTCATAAATCGAATCTTACTAATTCCTAAGGTCAGTGAAACTAATTAATAACATGTTAAAAACAAACAAACAAAAAAAAACACCACACACAACAAAAAAAATACAACACCCTGTATTTTAATGCTTTGCTGGGTATATGAGTACAAAACATTTAGACATTTTAGAAAACTGCATATGCACAAAGGATACTGCATATCGTTTTAAAGATCACCACTTCCACTGGCACTCTTTCCTGGGATTCAGTATTACTACATTTGGAGGTGTGTTTTTTTTTTGTTTTGTTTTGTTTTTTTGTTTTTTTTTTTAAGTATCTTTTGGTCACTCCTACTTTTATTCCACAAACACCTGGTTTCAAAGTCTTCCTTGGTTTCAATTACCATCTGATTCCTAGTTCAGACCTCTCTTCGGAGGTCCAGACAGACCTATCTATCTAGTGGGCATCACATTTGGGAGTACTAGAAGCACCTCAAATTTGACAGAGACAAAACCAGTGTTGTTGAAGAACAAGACTTAATTTTCTTAAATGCTTCCCCTCTCCCTCCCGCCATCCCTACAATTCCTTCCCTGCTCATAGCACATCAATTATGCTTGAACGTCACCAGTGCTTTGTACCACTCTTATGAGATTTTAATATATGACTTTCATTTATAAATTGTGATTCCACCTGTTCCTTCAAGAGTATGGGCAGCCTTACTCCATTTATCTCCTATTTTTCCCTCTGGAAATGTGGTAATTTTTAGCATTTTTTCCATGGATAAATATAACAAAGACGGAAAGGAATTCTGATGAATCTCTGCGTTTTATTTTTACTGCTGTCTGTCTTATACGACTGGGAGCTGTGGGGTGCACTAACAGAAGCAGGAACACTGTGCTCTTATAATTGAACTTAAGCAGAACAATTCTTCTATCAGGTAGCCCCTGAGGCCTGCCTTGGATGGGTCTTGGTCCAACCCGAACCACCCTTCCTCCCCAATCTTGATGTGGGCTTCTATGACAGCTAAGACACTGCATCATTTATGTATCTACTCCCCACAGGCCGTGCCCTTTGTGAAAGAAAGACGTGTGTCTCTGTATCTTCAGTGCTGTGCCTGCAGACCGGTGAAATGAGGCTAGCCAGTCTCCATAGGGGGCTTGCTGTCTTATAGGATTGCGAAGGCCCCAATTCCTACAGAAACTTCTTTAAAGTTGCCTCTGGGTGGCTAGAGTCCCAAAAAGCAACTTCCTAGCCTTTCTTCCCATCTAAAACGCCGACCAAAGCCTCTCTCTCCAGGAAGCCAGTGCAAAGATTAGGTCTCCCAGGGAAACGCTGACGTTCAGCCCCGCCCCGTCCCTGTCTCCACCTGCTCTGCAGACTGGACGGTCTAATGCCGGGGCACAGCGACTCGCCCCCGAAGGCAAGAGCGCAGGCGCAGCAAGCAGGAGAGCAGCGCTGTCACTCAAGAAAGCCCCGCCCCCTCAAGATGGCGCTGCGCTCAATGCGGAAGACGCGTGGGTGCTGGGGCTTCATCCGGGCACTTCATAAAGCACCCGAAGCTGCTCCTGCCCCCCAGGTAACCAAAGCTGGCCCCTCTCCCGCTTGTTTTCCATCCTCCTACGTTCTCCTTATTTCCTCTCCCTCCCTTCCTCCTTTTGCTTCTCTCTCTCCCCTCACCCCGCCCCCGTTTCCTCGGGAGAGAACCCGGTGGCTCCTCTAGTAAAGTCGTCTCCCTTAAGACTGCCCTTCTACCTGGGGCGTGGTGACGTCGCAGGGGTGCGTGGTGGCGTAACGCGCCCCCTGGTGGGCGGAGCGTCCCGCCGCCTGCGCACGGGACCGCCCACCTCCTGGTATCCTTATGGTCTTCCGGTCCTTTCCCTAATAGTGAGCCCGGGGGCCGGGAGGATGAGAGAAAGCTTGTTAGTGACTGGGAGGTCTCCGTGGGCGCTGCGCTGCGTGGTACCTGAGCGAATGGCGGTGCATTTTCCAGGGTTTCCTCTCCGTTACCCCAAAGTGGATCTGCCCAAAGATTAGGTCTCCACGGGAAACACAAGTAAACTGCTGTGACCATTGATTACTCTGGCAGCAGGGCGCGGCCTTCAGCCTGTGCGTCAGTATTTGGAATTTTACCCTCGTAGCAAAAGAAAAAAATAATGTGTGTGTGTATGTGTGTGTTTCATTCATTCAGACATTTTCATTCATTCAAACGTCTTCCCAGTTTAAGCTCACTGGTAGGCACATGCCATACGTCTCTTGGGAGCTGTCTTCTGGGAACTAGGAAGAAACCCCAGATTCTGCGGTGATTGGGTGATTTCCTGGCCTCTGTGCACATTCATTGTGGTATTGCATAGGCGGGGGGTGGGGGTGGGGGTGGTGTTGTAGGATGAGTGGGTGTTTTGCAAAGAGCACTAGACTGGAAGTTAGGAAACCAGAGGTCCAGGGATTTGTCAGCCACTTGCTAGTGGGGAGACATGACAAGTCTCTGAATCTCGCGGGGTTTTATTCTCTTTAGGAAAATGGGTGGAGGAAGGGTTGGACCGATTGCCACGTGTATGTTCTTCCAAGCTTTGGGAAATAATCTATGGCTTCATGATTATGAATCCAAAGCACAGCAATGAGATTATGAAAAACAAGATTTGAGTTCAACTGGTTTTTCTAATCGTCCCATAAATCTCTTAGTTTGGGGTACTTAGGTTTTCTTTCTTGATATGAGCCTAATAAGATTCTTGTGAGGATGAAGGATATTATATCAGAAAGCTCATCATTAACACAATGGCTATTTAAATGTTACTTTAAATTTCAGGCAGCAATGTTAGGAAATAATTTATTAAAAATTAGATAAATCCAATACTCCCCTCTTTGAAACCCTAGGGCCTGATTCTGTAGAACCAGAATTGGTTGATTACTATATTTATAGCTAATAGTAGCCTGTTAAAAGCTATGGTATCAAAGTAACTAAGCCTTAGACCCCTAACTTCCTCTCATTCTAAACAAGAGCTAAGGAGGTCATGAGAAATAGAGAATCAAAGAAAAAAGAAAAAGAAACTAGAGCCCACAATTGCCCAGGGAAATTAAGGGGACTAAAATCATTATAAATGCTAAAGAAAAGTTTCTTAAACATCTATTGTTTCAGTGGCATTTACCAAATCGATTATCTTGAAGGTAATCAACTGTTAACCTAGATTGTTTCAAGATGTAGAATTTCCAGAACAGAACAGTGTTTCTAAACCTTTGATTTAGCTTTGATTAGAATAAGAATTGAACATGAGAGTTTCTTTTAAAATTATAAATCTACATATAATTTTCAGTCATTAAAAATGATGGTTTGAGGACACTTTGAAAAAGACCAATTGAAAAAGATACAAAATTGCTTTAATAGTGTAATTATAATATTATGTTTGTAAATAAATATTTATATAAATGTATGCACAGAAGAAAAAGAAAGACTGGAAGGAAACAACCATTTTTGTTTGTTTGTTTTGCTAGGTTTTCCTAAGTAGTGGATTAAAAATGATTTAAGCTCTGGCTGGTGTTGCTCAATGTTTAGAATGTTGGCCCGTACACTGAAGGGTCTTCAGTTCAATTCCCGGTCAAGGGCATATACCTGGGTTGCAGGTTTGATCTCTGGCCCAGGTCGAGGTGAGAGTAGGAGGCAACCAATCGATGTGTGTGTGTGTGTGTGTGTGTGTGTGTGTCTCCCTCCCTTCCTCCTCCCCTCTCTCCCTCCCACTCTCTAAAAATCAATGGAAAAAATATCCTTGGGTGAGGATTAGCAAAACAAAAAAGAAAGTGATTTAAATTTTCTTCTTTAAGCTTTTTGTATTTTTCATATGTTCTAAATTGAAGATATATCACTTTTAGACCCAGGATAAGATTTTAAAGTGTAAATCTCCGTATAAATGCATAGCCATTAATATCATCTGTGATATTTTAGGTCTCAGAGAGATACTGGTCCCACAGCGTTGTTATTAAAATGGCCTTAGAAAAAGGACTCCTAAAAATTTATGGCCACTTTTCCTGTGTGTATCTTCTTTTTCTCTTGAAAAGCTTCCTTTGAAGTCAAAGAGATTTTTGTGAACAGATGCAGAAATATGTGAAGGAAGAATTGGATTCTTAAACCAGATGCATTAGACATTTTTATGATATCTCATAACCTTTGTAGAAAACAAAAAAATATTTTTGCAAGAGAGTAGTGTAATAGAAAGAAATGTATAGTTATCATATGGATGATTCTATCTAAAACCAAGAAATAGCCAAGTTGCTTGTTAATAGTTTTGGCTGCACCATTACTCCCCGAGGTGAGAAGCAAAATTGGGGGACCTACAAGCTCCTTTGTTAGAAACCATGACTGATAAAGTATTGTGATTCCTCAGTTGTTTCGTTTTCTTAAAAAAAAAAAAAAAAAAAAAAAAAAAAAAAAAAGGCAAAATCTTGGGTAATAAACTTGGCATTGGGGACCTTTAATTATCTCAGAGGCAGGCTTTTGCGCCTCAAGGCTAGATGTAGACTCAAGTTTAAAATAAAAAGGAGGGGGGAAGCAGAAATAACAGAGTATCAAGCCATAGTCATTTTGAGATGCCTACCACCTCTATGAAAGCGGTTTTATTTTGCCAGGTGTTGCCTGACAGAAAACTGTTGAAGTCTGACAGGATGGGAGCAGTCCCGGAGTCAGAATGGAGGCCTGACATGTTATGTTTAAATGCTGCTGGCATTGGGTAAATAAAAGCCTGTCATCGTTAGTCAGACACAGACTCCATACTTTCTCAAACACCGACTTAGGATTTTAGTGCGCAAAGAATGCAATATTGATGGTTCCCGGAGTTTTGCTTGATTATTTATAATTACTCAGTTGAGATATAGAATGGCCCCATTTTATCACACCTGATCAACACATTTAGCTATTAACTGTCCCAACCTGGGTTTGGCCCACACTGTATTAATATACTGTTCCTACAGCATTAGATGAAGGAATTATACATGCAAAAACGATAGACAATGTGTTAGATTTTTTTTTAATCTTGTATTTCTTTCCTACAATAAGGCTTTTTATAAATTGCTCTTTTAAGTAAAATTATTTAAAATAATTTTAGATGTACAAAGTTGCAAAATTTGTACAGCGTATTCCTATATACCCCTCACCAAGAGTCTTCTTACATAATCACCATCCAATGATCAAAGCCAGGAAATTAATTTGGTGCAATGCTAGCATGTTTCCTTTTTCTTTTTTTTAATATATTTTATTAATTTTTTACAGAGAGGAAGAGAGAGGGATAGAGTTAGAAACATCCATGAGAGAGAAACATTGATCAGCTGCCTCCTGCACACTCCCCACTGGGTATGTGCCCACAACCGAGGTACGTGCCCCTGACTGGAATGGAACCGGGAACCCTTGAGTCCTCAGGCTGATGCTCTATCCACTGAGCCAAACCTGTTAGAGGTTTTTTGTTTGTTTGTTTGTTTGTTTGTTTTTAACATAAGGCTTTAAGGCAGGTATCAGCACCTTCTTTTAAATCATGAGGAAGTAGACTTCAGTTAAGTAACTTGCATAATGTCACAAAGTGAATTAATTGGGGAGTTAGGATGTTAAAATTTACTAAATGGGATTTTGTTCCATAGTTTGCAATTAGTATTTGTTATTGTAGGTCTGTGATCTAATGACAGTAAACATTAGTGGTTCCAGTGACTTTGTCCTTAGCTCTTTCCTGCCTTGTATTGTCCTCCCAACATGCAACATGAGCTCATCAGCATGGATCGCTATGAGGGGCTGCTTTAGCCATCTGGGAATTTTACTGGATGATAACTGTGCCAGTTTGATCAGCCTCTCCATCTTCCTGTGCTTTTCTTAATGGTAACTAAAGGTATTTTGTGGGCCCACTCTAAAACTCCTTTTAAGCTCAGTCAGTCTAGGAGTTCCTTTGTTTAAAATGCTCCATAGCCCTAGCCATTTGGCTCAGTGGATAAAGCGTCAACCTGTGGACCGAAAAATCCTGGGTTCGATTCCATCAAGGCATATGCCTGGACCACAGGAAGCAGGGGGTGTGCAGGAGGCAGCTGATAATGATTCTCATCATTGCTGTTTCTATCTCCCTCTCCCTCTCTGACATCAATAAAAAATACATTTAAAATAAAATAAAGTGCACTGTAGGTTGGTTTTCCTTGTGAACTGACTTAGCTTATTAGAAGTAATATATCACTTTAAAAAATATCTTTGAGTTAATGAAAACTCTCAGTATCTACAAAAATACTGAGGAGGAATAGCAGATCAATGCTGAGGATTTATGCCAGCAACTATTATGGCAGCTACAGCCAGGAAATACAGAAGAAATTGAGGCCACTGACCCCAGATCCTTTCTCAGCATATCTGTTGCATGACTGCAGGTTATAGAAAAACTGTCTGCAGAGGCTTGCACAATTATATATTTATACATTCCTTAAGCCTACAAATATATGTATACACACACACACACACACACACACACACACACACACACACACCCCTATGTCTTTCAGAAAAGGAACGAATAGTTAGCTAGTGCCTGCTATATGCGAAAGCCTTGTACTATGTGCTATACATAC